GCAGTACAATTTAGAAAATTTGCAAAGTTTTAAAGTGCCCAATTAAACCAAATGGGAGTCAAATTGAAACAATAAGAAATCCTACCTAAAATTATTCTAACAGTGCTTGGACCAGACTGAGAGAATCTGGGCCAGGAGTGGACAGGCACCAGTATTTATAACTTTCCTCTCAGTCTTGGACCAATCAGGCTAAGATAAAACCCACACGTGACCACTCCCTCCTCCCACTCTGGAAAATTAAACATTTCACTTACTTATAGTTCATACTCTCTAATTCAACACCCCTTACATCATTTTTTAAAAACCAATATGAAGATAAATTTGCCAAGATGGAAGGGTAGATGACTTTATCACGTTAGACATTTAATTATAGAAAATAAAGCCATCATTATGGAATACTGTATATACAGAGGGAGCGAGCAGATGTTCCAAGCCCATTTTACAGGTATTCTAGTTTAGCTACTGCCTCTTTTAGCAACCGTTTGCAATTACAATGGTAATGAAAAAGTAGCTTAGCAACCAGTCTACATATTTACAGCCTTTGCAGATGTGCAAAGCAAAAGAAAGCTGAAGTAACACAGTTGTCATTTCACTCAGTGACCACTTCACTTAACAACCAAGTTGCCTGTCCCAATTGCAGCTGCTAAACAAGGACTACCTGTACTGTCTTATCTTCAAAAGTATCACATAGGTCATTAGATGAATTCATTGCAAGTATATGTAGCTGTCAACTTACAACAAATGAGACCAGAATTTCCATTGCTAAGCAATGCAATTGTAAAGCAAGACTCTCACTTAGTGATGGCAATCCCTATAGTCCCATTTGCTGTTGTTAACTGAATCCCATAGACATTAGGTGAGGCAACTTCCTGCTGGCTTCCATGACCAAACTCAGTGGGGAAGCAATCAGGAAGTTGCAGCCGAGTTAACCTGTTGGCTTCCCCATTGTCTTTCTGGGGAAGTCAACAGGGAATACTGAAAATCACAACCATGTAATTGCACTTGGCAACCAATTGTAAACTTAAAGGTGTTGTCAGGCATGCAGTTTGGGATCACCTGACCATAAGTGCAAGAGCAGCTGGAACTCCAAGGATCAGTTGTAACCATGCCTTCGTAGCTTGGGATAATCTCTGACCAATGGTTGTAGATTGAGGACAAATGATTATGAGAGCCAGTTTGGTGTAGTGGTTGAAGTGCTAACCTAAAAAGCAGGAGACTGTGAATGCTAGTCCTCCCTTAGGCAGAGCTGGCTGGGTGACTGAGCAAGTCACACTCTTTCAGTCAAGGACACCCCACCACAGGGTTGTTGTTGCAGGAAAAATAGAAGGCAAAAATACCAAATATGTTAGCTGTCTTGAGGTGACAATAAATACACACACACACAAACCACACACGAGATAAAAATATAATAATGTAATAATGTTCAAATATAATTAAATGCATTGATTTCAATCTTTCTTATCTATGTTGGAAAGAGTGAAATAAAGCTGCAAATTGCTAATACTTTTCTGTCTTTTCTGTGACTCAGTATCACTGCCTAAATTCCAGCCATTCCAGCCTACAGGGCTTTAAAGGAAAAACATTTGTCTTCCATTTTTCACGTAGAAACACTGCTACTATCTCCTCTAAGGAAATAGCAGAGCTGTGAAAGAAAAAAAAAACATATCTGTGTGCTAAGCTACTGAATCAGCAAACTTCTAAATTTTTTTGTATAGCCAAAATGTTCTTGCCTGCCCCTTTCAATGTCACTGCCGAGGTTTCTGTCATTGTTTCTAAATCTTCCAGCCAAAAAAAAAAAAAAGTCATTTGCAGGAAAAAGGTCTGTTACCCATCTGTTCAAAACTGGTGAGATTTTGTCATTTCTTTTCTGTTTGTAAACAGTAACAGTTGAAGCGCTCATCAAAGTGCTCACAGCAAATTTAGTAAGAGTTGTATCACAGGGAATATACACCAAGACAACAGGACATACATAATGACAATGATATAATACTGGTGTGCGCGTGCACGCGCGCGCACACACACACACACGCATACACACACACACATGAAAACACTCCTAAACAAAAGAACTGAAAACCTAGGGTAGAATTTGATGCAAGATCAAAGTAACCTAATGAAGAGTGAAACATAGTAAGAAAAGAAAAGTAGGAAGAAAAAACATGGAAAGATAAGAAAAGTAGGGAGATAAACAAGTTACAAAATCCTCTCCTCTCACTAATTCTAAAATGCTTTACTGTTTTCTTTATTGTTCAGATAAGAGAACTGGGGGAAAGCATGTAGAAGCAAAGTATTATGTAAAGATATTTTTTTCCTCCCAGAGCACTCTGATACAATTGTCTCAATTAATTTTTGGCTGGCAACTAGAAATTGGATTTTTCAATCCCTCAAATCTTTCCTGTACATACATAATTTCTATTCTAGTCTGAAACTAGTATAAAAGTAACCTCCTGATTTAAACTTCATCTGTGTTAAGAAAAACTCAGACAGACATTCCTAACACAATTTTCTGACAAAATATTACAGTCTAAAGGCATTAATAGAACCAAGTGTCCCACTAATCTACTAGCTGCCATGCTCTGCATATGCCTCAAAGGCTTTCAGACTGGGCAACTGCAAACTTTTCTATATCAAACTTAAAATTGTAAGTATTCATTTTGTTGTGCTTTGAATCAAGACCTTCAGTGTCTCATTGCCATTTCCCACTGTGTTCTTGACCTGGAAAATAAAAAGAAAAGCTAAATTTATGCTGTGTGACTTGGAGCAAGTCACATTCTCTTACCACAGTTACCCATAAGGTTGTTGTTTCAGGGGAAAATAGGAAAGAGCAGCCAACCTTCCCATATCTATCATTGGCCCATAAGCCCATTCTTCTCACTGACTTAGTTATTTTATTTCATTTGTACTTTTAGTTTATTTTGTGAGGGTATGCATGTGAGGTCTCACTTTTTTTGGTCCTGTGGCAGAATTCACTGGAGAAAGCAATTATGCTGGGAAGATTTAGCAGAGGGTTGGATGCCATCAAAGCTGGCACCAACCACAGCATAGAAAAAGCAGTGCAAGATCAGAAGAATATCCCAAGAATCGGACACGATTGAATGGATAACATCATCATCATGATCATCATATGAGTGAGTGCCATTTAGTGTAATGGTTAAGACACCAGGTTAGAAACTGAGTTCCAATCCCACCTTAGGCTCAAGTCCAGCTGGTGAGTTTGGGCCAGCTCCTCTGTCTCAACCCTAAGGAGGAGGCAAGGACAAACCACTTCAGAAAATATTGTCATGAAAACTGCAGTGACTTTTTGTATAGTTGAAAGGAGGCAAGACTGACTTCAAGGTACACTTGCACACAGATGCATAAACACACAGATGGGTATGCATATATGTGGTGTGTGTGTGTGTGTGTGTGTGTGTGTGTAGAGATTTCCAAAACTGTTTTTCTTTTCATTCCATGTGTGTGTGTGTAGAATATGAAAAGAAAAACAGTTTTGGAAATCCCTGTTTAAAAAGGAGCCCACATTTTCTTATTAAAACAAGTTCTTAGTGTCAAAAATCCTATTTCTTCACAGAAAGTCATATGCAAATTAGAATTTGTGACATACAATTTTTGCCCTTTTGACTTAAAAGAAAAATCAACATGACTACATTATTATTATAGGCCACTGAAGCACAAACAATGTAATCCATTTGAACCTCAATGTTCTATTTTAAGATTTATAGAAAGCACACATACAAAAATGAAACTGAAGAGATATTTTTACACAAAAGTTTTCCCCAAAAAGGAAAAGAAAAAGGTATCAACAGATGAAAAAGAAATACTTGCAGTAAGTAAATGCCATTTGTCAAGGAGAAATTGTCTCTGGCTGATTTAAACAAGTAGTCCTGAATTTACAACCATTCGTTTAACAGATTAACAGAGTAGGAAAGAAACCTTGTAAATCATCTAGTCCAACACTCCCACCCCCACCCCCACCCCAAAGCAGGAGACCCTAAACCATTTCCGACAACTGTTAGGAACCGACAAATGTCATCAACTGTTCAAGTTATAACAGCACTGAAAACACCATAAAAGTTTGATCTATGTCACTTTTTTTCATATCTCATGAATAGAAATGCTTTGATTTTAATAGTATGGAGAACTATCAAGCAGAATGTAAGCACATTTACAGCAGTTCAATCCCTCTATCATCTACAATTCTAACAAATATTTGAAACATGAAAAAGCGTAAAAGCTATAGAAATATCAAAGCCAACAATGAAATCTTTCTCACAGCAATTTCTGTTGAATGTTCATTCTACTAATATATTTTCTTAGCTGTTTCTCCTATCATACTAGTTCTAACTCCTCTCTTTTGTTTTTTTCTTCTTCTAATTTTTAAACCACAAAAACCCTAAGCAAATTTACAATTCAAACAGTAGAAGAAAATACCCTTTAACTCATACAGGTTGATTCTGAATTAAAAGACCTGGCAGTTTTAAATCATAAGTTGGCTAGAAGAACCTTAGTTTTACTTATTTTTGGATGATCTGTTTGTTGGTACATTGTTAGTTCTAAAGAAACTTCCAATGTAAAACCTCCCCCTCCCCCCAAGTACAAGTCGTCATACAAATGCTGTCACTATTGACTTGCCTCCTGACATCTGACACAAGAAGACAAGTTACCACATTTTTTAATGGCACACATACTCTAGCCTGCCTCACTTCCAAGCCTCTCCTCGAGGATGCCAAAGAAAAAGAGCAAAAATCTGTGATGGGACATGTATCAGTCTACCAAAAACTCATTAGTTTAATAGAGCTATAAAGTTACAATCTGCAAAACTACAATACATGGATCCTATTGGTAAAAACACTTTTGTGTTTTTACCATCTTTTATGTTTATTCTGTTTTTCTGTTTGTTCTGTAATAAAATTCCAGAAGTATTTTTTGTTTACCTCAAAATATAGGACATTAAGTAGTAAGCAAGTAAGTAAGTAAATAAATAAAGGACAAGAATCATTTACCAAAATCTACCCTTGTTAGTATGCACTGCATTGGATGGTCAGTTGTATGCCTTGTCGTCGTTGCACCACTTTCATAACAAGATGCACACAGATCGTAATCGTAGCAAATTAAACACTTGTATCTGCGACCTCGGAAATTGCCTTTTAAACATGCATCGCAGCTGACACCTGCAAAAAAAAATAAACAGAAAATCATTAGCCATTTGCATGAACAATCAACATCTATGCAATTTCATTGTAATACTACTGTCCTAAATTACTATCAATTCTATCAATTACCTTATAGTTGAAAATTAATGTTCATGATTTCATAATTATCCTAAACATGCTTCTCACATTACATCAATCAATTAAAATGCTGACTATTCATATTCTCAGATAGGGCTCTCCAACGTGAGGGTTTCCAGGTCCATTTTGAGACCAATAATACTACTTACAAAAAGTAAGACCACTAAGGCATGCTTACAAGTTTATTTCAAAAGAAGATGGTATTGTGTGCAGCCCATTTAAATGAGGGTAACATGTGAGACAACAGTAAGATAGAGAGGTGGACTGACAGACAAGAATGGATAGAAAAAGACAGTACAAGCTTGCCGGCTGCCCAGAATAGAAAGCACCTCCTTCATGGACTGCAGCAAAACAGGAACTATCAAGTCTTTAACTTTAATCCTATTTTCACCCTCTCCATCCCCTCCTTCCCGCAGACTAGGAGACTGATGGAGATATGCAAGGCTGTGGAATTCAGCAAGTTTATCAAACAAACTGAGACCAACAGGTGTACACTGGAAAGAAGGCATTGTTCCATGTCCAGAGAGGACAAGCAGGATGGCTGCATGTTTTGTCTCCTATAGAAGTGCTTTCATAGCAATGCCCAGGACTGAAACCTCCTCTTTCCACTTGCGTGTTCCCCACATCACTGGTGCAGCTCTTGTTACCAGCAGCTGCTGTCCAGAAACTCTGATAGTGACTATAGGTGTTTATGGCAATGTATAAAACTTTCAAAGTTGCAGACCTAAAACTAATAAACCGGACTTTTTGAAAGGCTTGTGATGAACTAAGTTTGAGATCCTTGCCCTAAAGTCCGAAGACTTTCTATACTCCATTATTTTGATAGTTCACACTACCAGATAAAAGCATTTTTATAAAAACCAAACGGATATAGTTCTTGTAATACATTTCATGCTGACCAAGGCATACTGACATAATACTCGTTTAATAAATGTATCTTAACTATATAACTACTGTAAGTTAAAACAAACAGAGACTGAGATTACTGCTAAATCTTTGGTTTGAAAGGAATCTGTACTAATTGATTCTGGTTATATACAGACAAAAATTATCACTGGTTTGTCCATTAAAAGCATATTGTTTAAAGTTGTCTAGAAAAAAACTGATAACATATTTCAAGCACAGATTAAGAGCATAACATAGCTGAAGCAAATAATGTATGGCATTAAAGGCATACCGTGTACAGAAATATTCATATTAGCTTTGTAAATATGTCAAATTAAAAAATAAATAAATTCCAAAATGTTATTGAATTTCAAAATCTTCCAAATCCTATTTTCTACTAAAAAAAGAATCTGAATTTTTTCTTTGTTCAAAAAACAGCTGAACTGAAATATTTTACTGGAAGGGAAAGCAAAAAGTAGATTTGTAATTTAACACATGTCTACTTATAAATTTCCTCAAATGTGAGTTTATTTGGGTTCCACGATACTCATTCTAAAGTATTTAACTGCTCCATTTAGTATTGCAATCTTAGTAAGCTTAAAAGAGAATCATGGACTTATAAGAACTGGAAGGGACCATTTAGAAACATCAAGACTAACCCCCCCTCCCCCCAGTCAATGTAAAAAAATACAAATTCTTTGTTTGTGTGTCTGGCTTCTTCCCACTACCTCTCTGAATAAAAAAAAACTAGTAAAGGCAACAATCATTTGATCAAACCCTATTTTTATGTAACTTAAATTCCATTACGGCATTTCATGTTTTGAACACCAGAACACTAGAGAACCATCTTGATCTTCTATGTGACATCCTTGCAGATGTTTGAATAATACAGTTTTCCCATTCCATTTTCTTTTCTCAAGGGAAACATCCTCAATTCCTTCTTTCTTTCTTTTATAACTTACTTACTAGTCCTTTGACCATTGTTATTGCCTTTCTCTGAACATGCTCCGATTTCTCCGAATCCTTCTTGAATAGTGCCCAGAACAGTCTAACTAAAGCAGAATAAAGTGGAACACGTGCAAGCTGTGATTTGCAAATTACATTTGTTGATGCAGTCTAAATTTGTATTTGACTTTTGCAGCCAGCCACACTACACTCCTGTCTAATATTCTATTTCTACTCAACTACTATTGACTAAAAGATCTCTTTTACAAGTATCATTACCATATTATGCTCATGCATTTGATTTTTGTTTCCTAGCTGAACTTGATGTTTTTCTTTATTAAAATTATTGTTATTTTCAGGCGATTTATTTTATCTGCTAAAATTATTTTTAATTTTTGTGTAATCTGAAAACCTCCAGCAATGGAGGACCCACAACTCTGGGAAGCAAGCTGTTCCATTGAATAATCATTTTCTCTTTCAGGTTGAATCACTCTCTAAGAAGCTTCCACCCATTGCTTCTTGTCCTGCTTTCAAGTGTTATGGAGAAAGGGTGTTGGTACTTACCTGATATGCCTCTTTTCATAGTGGGGGGGAGGAGTATCCAGAATGGGTTGACCTTGTCCTCTCATGATTAGATGAGTAAGATAAGCTCTTTGGGCAACGCCCCCTGGCCAGCCGATATTCCCCATATTTGATGAAGAGCTCTATCCGACTCGTTGCACCACTCACTTCAGACTCTTAATTCAGTTCTTAGCTTTATCGTCTTCGACATTATATAACTTCATAAAACAATGAACGTAATACTTAGTCGTACAAACATAGTCAGGGAGGGACTGGATACTCCTCCCCCCCACTATGAAAAGAGGCATATCAGGTAAGTACCAACACCCTTTCTCCATAACACTTGAAAGCAGGACAAGAAGCAA